TCCCATGTACCAGGCATTGTATTATGCAAAACACTTTACACTGCATGATCTCTTTTCTTTTTTCCTGAAAGCAACATGTCCCCTTCTTCCACTTAACTTTTGCAGCCCAGGTGTCCATAGCCCTATGCTAAAATACATAAATAAACAAACAAATAAATATATTAAGAGTGACAGGCAAGATCCCTATTGTCAAGGATATTAATTGCCTTTGAACAAAATGATACCAATTTGGAAGCGGCTATGTAGATGGATGTTAATTTAACCTGGATGTGAGTAGCCAAATACCTGCTTTTTTCTGGCTTTTGATGCCAAGGGTGAAGGGCTCAGGGTCAAATCTTTAAGGTCAGGCTTTCTCTCTCTCTCTCTCTCTTTTTTTTTTTTTTCCCACATTAGGTCATTATTTTTCCTGAGTAGGACACTGGAGAGTTGCTCATGGGTTTTATTTCCTCGATGCCACTGCATATTCACCTATTTCTGACGTTGGCAATAATTCCAGTGCCAATCACCAGCTTTCTATATTTATCGGCAGCTGCTTCAGTGATGTGGAAACAATTTTCTCAACAGCTGAAAAACATGAAGATAGAGAGTAGGACATTTTGTTCTTTATGAAAGAGCTTAGTTGGAGTGAGCGTGGAAGAAGTGAGCAATCTAGCACGAACCTTTTGTCTCTGCATCTTTTCCACTCTCTCCAGCACAATGTCAGGCTGGAGTGAAGACCATGGCTTTGTCCAGACAGGAGTGGGTAGGCTCTATGAAATACACCAGAATACTTCGGGTCAGGATTCTGACGTGGGCTGGTATTCTCTTATCTAGGTGATGCTCTTTGTTGATTTGCTTCATTTGTATCTTAAGGTTTGGCAGGAAGGAGGCTTAACCCTAGCCTTTACTTCCAGCCCAACCTTACCAGCCGGCTGGCTTTAAGCATTCAGTGAATATTTTTCTATGAAACATGTAGTGTGGCTGTCCCCCATGAGGCACCATGCAGGGCACAGAAGATCTGAGTGGCATAGACACCACCTGTGAAGTCAGAGGGCTTCCGGTCTGTAAGGCACTTTAACTAGAATTATTGTGAAGACTAAATGGTACCATGTTTACAAAGCCCTCACATGGTACCTGATTCTAGAAAGCCCTCAGTGCAGAATGATCATAGTGGCGAGGCAGGAAAACTGAGTCTAGAGACTGGGAGCCTAAGGTGAACCCGCGGCTGACTTCTTAGAATTAAACCAAAAGGAAAACTTCAGTCTCTGATTGGTCATGGGCCAGTCCTTCACTTCAGCCTCTGATTAGTTGCAGGTCAAGCTTCCACTTCAGCCTCTGATTGGCTGTGGGCCAATCCTTCATTTGTATAGGGTGTAACTCCGCTTCAGCCTCTGATTGGCTGCAGGCCAAGCCCTCAAGACTTTCTATCCCCTAACAATGGTTTTTATTTTCAAGTTGTGTGTTTGCTTCTTTCACAGCTCTGGGATATCTGGTCACTGAGGTGCTTTAAAGAGCCCAAGACCTAACTCTGCCCCCAACCAAGGAAAACGGGAGTCTATTGAGAGGCTCATATGTACCAAGCATTGTATCATGCAAAACACTTTACAGTGCATGATCTCTTTTCTTCCTTATAGCAGCCTAGGCAATGGCTGTTGTCAGCATTTTACAGATGAAGAAATGAGGGTTTGGAGAGAGTAACTTGCTCAAGTCTTCCTGACACCAAAGCCCATGCCGCCCTACCTTCCCCACACCATCCACCTCCCTGGACCTCACTGGTGGTGCAGCAGGGAGACTGCAAACAATTCTGTCAACCTCCTTGTGCCCGTCCAATGTCATTTGTAAAAATGAAAAGCCATCTCTGAAAGTTGATTTTCGCCTTCAAAAATTCTATTGAACAGCAGCTTCCTTATTATTTAAATCTTTGCTGCCACCTAGTGGGAATTATGTAATTAGAAGACTAAAGAAAAATTTCAGTTAGACTTGAATTAAAAAACTGTCCATTTCATCCTGTAAAAGGCAAAACTATGTAGACGGTGAAATGATCAGTGGTTTTCAGGAGTTAGGAGGAGGGAGGGATGAAAAGGCGGGGTACAGAGAGTTTTTAGGGTAGTGACACTACTGTGTATGATACTGTAATAGCGGGTACATGTCATTATATCTTTGTCCAAACTCAGAATGTCCAACATCAAGACTGAACCCTAATGTAAACTGTGGACTCTGGGCTATCATGATGTGTCAATGTCGGTTCATTAATTGTAACAACAGTTCCACTCTGGTGGGGGATGTTGCTAACTGGGGAGGCTGTCGCGGGTAGGGACTGGGGTTGTATCGGAAATCTCTGTACCTTCTGCTCAATTTTGCTGTGAACCTACACCTGCTCTAAAAATAGTCTTTTTTAAAAAAACTATCAATTTTCTTATATCCATACTGTGCTCCTAAACTTTAAAAATTATATTTTTAAACAAATATCATGGCCTTCCATTTTTATCTTTATAGTAAACTACCAGATGTGAAATTCCTTTTATAAAAATTTTGGTCAGGTGTTGGAATTATTGTAAACCCCAGCTTTTAAAAAATGCTTAATCTTTTGTGACCATCTAACATACACTCATTTGTGCATGACCTTCTAATATGTACTCATATGTGTATTAGATAATGAGCTATACATTAAGAAATTCTAATTTGCAGTATTCAGAACTTATATTTTTAAATGTTATAAATAGTCAAATTTTTTACATTATCATGGTTTAAAAATTCAAACAACACAGAGGATGTGAAGTTAAACAGTAAAGTCCTCCTCCAGAGAGGGAAGTTTCTTCAGAATTTTTAAAGTTTTCCCCCAGAAATGTTCTATTCTGGGACTAGGACACACACACCATTTTCTTTACTACTTTTTTATGAATGGGCTTATGCTATGCTTACTGTTCTATGGCCTGCTTTTTTTACTTGATCTATTTTGAACATCTTTCCATGCCAGAGCACAAATCTGCCTCGTTCTTTTGAGCAGCATATAATATTCCATTATCAACTATACTATAATTTATTTAACTGGCCCTTCGCTGATGTCCATATCACCTATTCCCAGTTTTTGTCGTTAGGGAAATGCTGTAGGGAATATATGCATGCACATACATGCTTTTGCAAATATATTTGTAGAATAAAATCTTAGACCTAAAATAATTACTGGATCTCAAGGTTACGTGAACACCCACTGATCAAGATCACCAAAAATACACGTCATCCAAAAAAAAAAAAAAAGAGCGGGTCAGGTTTATTTAACTAGCTGCAGCAATAGGGAAGCCAGAGGAATCGTGATCCCACTCTGGGTGCAGTTTGGAGGAGTTTTCACAGCATTTGGGCTTGTGCTGGGTTATTTTATTTTATTTTATTTTATTTCTTTATTTATTGAAATGGAGCTTCTTTCTTGTTGCCCAGCCTGGAGTGCAATGGCATGATCTCAGCTCACTGCAACCTCTGCCTCCCAGGTTCAAGCAATTCTGCCTCAGCCTCCTGAGTAGCTGGGATTACAGGCGTCCGCCACCATGCCCGGCTAATTTTTTGTATTTAGTAGAGACGAGGTTTCACCATGTTACGTCAGGCTGATCTTGAACTCCTGACCTCAGGTGATCCATCCACCTCGGCCTCCCAAAGTTCTGGGACTGTAGGCTTGTGACACCGCACCCAGCCCATGTGCTAGGTAATTTTAAAGAAGATTCAAAGGAGCAGAAGCAGTTCTAGGTTAAGCGTTGTCAAGAAGCAGGGCCAGGTCAGTGATTGGGTCTCTTAGGTTTTTCTGGATGGTCAAATAATTAAAGTTGGGCTAGAAGCATCATTAGGAAAGCAGTGGCAGTCATGGATGTGGTCAGAAGAGGGGGCTGTTTCATCACTTTGGGTTACCAAGTGGCCTCGTCTCTGTCTTGGTCCAAACCCGGCCACTAAGTGGACTTGCCAGGACATGGCTTTATTCTGTGTGTGTTCCGTATGATCAGTTGGGAGCACCGTGGCCAACCTGACACGTGCTTGCTTTCATTCTCTCAGGTACATTGATTTGGAAAATGTCTGTAGATGTTGAAGTTGCTTTCCAGAAAGGTTGCACCACTTTATAGTCTTCTGGGTTCTTTTAAATACCCAACTTCCCTAACAGAATGAAGCAGTCAATAATCAGATTAATTATGGCAATTTTAATAATAGCAAATGTTTCTGGTCACTTCCAATGTGCCATCTACTGCTAAATCTATTAAATGCCCTGAATCCTCATCAGAGGCCTGAGACCAGGTGCTGACAACATTCCCACTTCCCTAAGAAGAAACCCAGGCTTCAAAAGGATGTAACTTGCCTTGATCACAGAGCTAGCCAACAAGGAGTTAGCTGGGGTTCAGGACTTGGATGTCTTATTCCAGGCCCACACTCTTTACTATGAAGAAATAATTTCTCTTTTATTATCCTTCCAGGAGCCTGCCAAGGAGAATTGAAAGCTAAGGAATTAAGAGCCATTTAACTGATGATCACAAATCTTTGAAAGGCTAGTTTGGGTTGATAAGGAAGTAGGGTCCCATTTACAAAAATGAGATTTACGGGCAGCCTTCCAGGAGTAATCACGTATATAGTGTTAGGCGAGGCATCAGCATAAAGTGCTGAGTTGTTCACAGTGCCTCAATTAATAAATGCCTATGAGTACTTTCTTAAAATCACAGCCAAGACACTATAATTAAATATTCTCTGTGTGATCTGTAGCTCAGACGGTGCATAAAAAAACCCCAAGTAAGCAGATGGGTGAAGGACACCCATCCTCTTAGATCCACAGACGTTCGTGAAGCTTCCATGCTGTGTCCTTCCGAGGACACAGCCTGCGAGACTTCACCGAGAAAGATTTTGTGCAGGGAAAGAAACTGACCTGAGATGGTGCTTGAGTAAATATTGATTGAGTGCATGATGGGCACACAGTGGGGTTGAAATTGGGCTGCCTGCTTGGATTTAGCAAAGGAAATGTGTAGTAACCACTGGCGGCTGCTCTTTTTCAGATTGTGCCGGCTGTGGAAGAGATATCAAGAATGGGCAGGCACTGCTGGCGCTGGATAAGCAGTGGCACTTGGGGTGCTTTAAATGCAAGTCCTGCGGGAAGGTCCTCACCGGGGAGTACATCAGCAAGTAAGGCTGGGTGCGGGCACGCGTTCCTTTCAGTGGGCACCAGGCGTTGTGGTTCTTCTGCAGGTCCTGGTCTCAGGGGCCCCATGCTGTCAAAGGTGCTGAAATTGTTCACATCCTGCCGTCAGAATGAACTTGTTGCTATAAAACTTTTGAAAAGAATTGTATTCTTCTGCTTTGGCTACTGTAAACCTAATGAAATGTTAATCATTGCCGGATTTAACAATGACAGTGTTATACTGTATGTCATCACCAATTAAGCATTTAATAATTTCCCTGTTGCTATTCATTCTCCTATGAGGAACTAGTAAGCCTTTGTCCTCCTTCCAGGGCTGGAGTACATTTATAGACACCCCCCAAAAACACACAAAGCCTAAGTTGTCAGCCCTTTAGGACTGTGCACAAAACAGCCTGCCAGGAAATGGGCTCATGTTCAATAACAGTGGATAATAGCTACAGTTAAGGAGGTGAGGGTTTTTTAAAAAAGCAAATGTAGCCTGGCAATGAGGGGAAATTTTCCACTGTATACCTTTTTATGCCTCAAAAAAAACTTTTCTGCTGGGCGCAGTGGCTCACACTTGTAATCTCAATACTTGAGAGGCCAAGGTGGGAGGATCACTTGAGCTCAGGAGTTCGAGACCAGGCTGAGCAACATAGCGCGACCTCATCTTTACTAATATAAATAAATAAATAAATAAATAAATAAGCAAGCCAGGCATGGTGGCACATGCCTGTAGTCCCAGCTACTTGGGAGTCTGAGGTGGGAAGATCGCTTGAGCCCAGGAGATCAAGGCTACAGTGAACTATTATCGCACCACTGCACCCCAGCCAGGGCAGCTGAGTGAGACCCTGTCTCAAAAAATAAACAAATACATTCCTTCATTCATTCATTCATTTCCCCAACCACATGAAATCACCTATTCAAAAATATTAATGAATGTAGTTTAAAAATATAATGAAACAAACAAAAGGTTGCTTTGGCCCCACCCACTAGAAGTCTGATTCTACAGACCCAGGGTAAAGCTGAAACATCTGCATTGAAAGGGCAAGAAGGCCAGGTGCGGTGGCTCATGCCTGTAATCCCAGCCCTTTGGGAGTCCGAGGTGGGTGGATCACCTGAGGTTGAGAGTTCAAGACCAGCCTGGCCAATATGGTGAAACCCGTCTCTACTAAAAATACAAAAAAGGAGCCAGGTGTGGTATTGGGCACCTACAACCCCAGCTATTTGGGAGGCTGAGACAGGAGAATTGCTTGAACCCGGGAAGCAGAGGTTACAGTGAGCTGAGATCGCGCCACTGCACTCCAGCCTGGCGACAGAGCCAGACTCTGTCTAAAAAGAAAAAAGAAAAGGCAAGAAGCTCTTCAGGTGACCATGATGGACAAAGTAAGAAGACAGGTGCCTGGCTTCTAATGGAACATTGCAAACTGCGCAGTGGTGGGTAACTTGACAGTCTAGAGTGGCACTCTATAGCTTTACCATGCAATCACACACAGGATATAATACTTTTCCTGTGCTCCAAGGTAAATGGAGGAGGTTGCCTCAGCTGGAGGAGGCAGCCATGGGCCCCGGAGGCCTCCTGAGAGCTGAGAAGGTGGTGTCTGGAGGCTGTTCAGAGGCTGTAGTCTGGCATGTGGGCCCCTTGTGGTGGGGGCATGAACGCTGAACCCACATCTGATGGGCTCAGTGTTCTTTTTCTCTTTTTCTTTTTCTTTTTGTTTTGGAGATTGGGTCTCATGCTGTCACCCAGGCTGGATTGCAATGGCGCGATCTTGGCTCACTGCAACCTCCGCCTCCTGGGTTCAAGTAATTCTCCTGCCTCAGTCTCCTGAGTAGCTGGGACTTACAGCTGTATGCCACCACACCTGGCTAATTTTTGTATTTTCTTTAGTAGAAACAGGGCTTCCCGTGTTGGCCAGACTGGTCTCAAACTCCTGACCTCAGCTGATCCACCCACCTTGGCCTCCCAAAGTGCTGGGACTACAGGTGTAAGCCACTGTGCCTGACCTCAGTGTCATATTATTAAATATACGTATTATATACATTAACTATTTTTTAGCTTTGCCTTTATTGTGGTTTTAATGAAATTGTCTCTAGTGTTTTGCCTTCAGGTGTGATATTGCCTATTGATTTGCCAGTATCTTCTTCAGGTTCATTAATACCATTCGTTCTCTGGTTTATTAATTATTGTTATGTGGGCTCAATGGGCTCAGTGCTCCTCCATGCCCAGGGGGCCTGTGGAGAGAGAATGCTGCCAGGCTTTCTGCTCGTTAGCTCTGAGACAGTACAAAATCAGCAAGGGTGATCATATGACAACATGGCCGTTTCGCCTGTGTGGCACCGAGAGCCAGAGCGCTCTCTGGATCATTTCGCTTGTGGTTTTGATCATGTCTGGCCAGGTCTGACTGGATTACCAGGCATGTGAACGCTGGGTGGGAGAAAATACGTCCTGCCCTTCTGTGGAAAGACCTTGGAGAAATGTGGTTTTGGTGTCTTCTCCGGCCCCTGGCCACCTCCTCAGGAGCTGAACACGCTTTTGTCTTGCAGGGATGGTGCCCCGTACTGTGAAAAGGACTACCAGGGACTCTTTGGGGTGAAATGTGAGGCATGTCACCAGTTTATCACAGGGAAAGTCCTGGAGGTAAGTGGCAGACCGGCTCCCTCACAGCGACCGCCATCTTCCTCAGCGGCCCTCAGAAACACACAAGACGGGGACCCTTTCCCGCCTCCTCCATTTTTTTTTTTACCTGTGGAGAAAGAAAATAGTCGCAGGTGACTGTCTTTGGGAATTACGGTGCTGCACTCTCCTCAAAGGCTCACGTGGAAATTAGAATGATGGAGAATTTGCAAAGGAAAAAAAAAAAAAGAATGATAAAGGTTCTGGTGGGAGTTATGTAGGAGAGGCTATATTAGACCATTTTCATTTTTAGAAGTTAGACAAGAGTAAATGAAGAGGATGCGAAATCGTGTGTATACATCCGTGTGTGCGTGTGTGCATCTGTGTATGCGTGCATTTCTGGGCGTGTGCAGATTCAGGGAGCAGAGGCTCAGAATGGAAGCTAAGAAAGGAAGGGTGGGGGAAAGGTAGAGGCATTGGCTTCCCCAGCCTTCAAAAACCACATCCTGTGTGACCCAGAGCACCCTGTAGCCAGGGCTGAGCTGAAGCCTGTCAAGTTCAGGTGCCACCGCCTCCAGCTGGGGAGCTTTCTTCCTGCTTTCTCAGCAGCTGCCACACAGGCTTCTGCCTCTGGGCTGAGCCAGTTCCTCTGGGGTGAGACACAGAATTCTGGGGCCAGAGTTCAGAAGGAGTCGCTACCCTACTTCTCCCAGGCCTGTGGGGTGTCAGCCAGGTCCAAGGAGAAAGTAAGACTGCCTCACCCGTGGCCCACCTGCCAGGGTGGAGAGTATGACCCAAGCAGAGGTGGATCAGGAAGCCTCACAACTAGGGGGATGACTACAGGTCCTGCAGCTTGTCACCGTGCTTAGTCAGGCACCAGGCTGCTGAATCCGCAGAGCCATGTTCCACCTTCCCAGCAGGGCACGTTTCAGAGACACAGACACAGATCCAAGGCACCCCCACCAGGGTGTTTCTGGGCTGCACTGTCTCTTCTGTGGGTTTCACAGCAAAGGTTCAGCGTGGCCCCCTAAATCCCACTGTAAGCCCTTTCCACAAAGCACAGAGGGGCCAGCATTGGCTGTGTGCTGGGACCTGGGCAGCTGATTGCACTTGGGAGAGAAAGGTGTGATTGTGGTCAAATGCAGTTGCCTCTTAGCTCAAGGAAGAGGGTTCTGGGAAGAGGGAGCAGCACTTGCAGGGGCGCAGAGGTGAGGAAAAGCACAGCATACATAAGAAACGTCAGCTGGGCAGGAGCACGGATGTGACAGATGATGCTGGAGAAGTGGGCAGGGTCCCAAGAGTGACATTCTGGAGTTTGGGTGTTACCCTAAAAGCGGTGGGAAGCCATTGAACTGCTTGTAGCTGGAGTGTCATGTGATTAGACCAGGTTGTTGTGTAAAGAACATATGAGAGTTCTCAAATCTATGTACACACATGTTCACAGCAGCACTATTCACATCAGCCGAAAGGTAGAAACAACCCAAAGTCCATCAGCAGGTGAATGGATAACAACACGTGGTGTATCCGTCTAGTGGAATATCATGCAGCCTTGCAGCAGTGCTGCCTACCACAGGATGAGCCTTTAGAACACACTAAGTCAAAGAAACCAGCCACAAAAGGCCACATATTATATGATGTGGTTTACATAAAATATCTAGAATAGGTAAATCCATACAGATAGAAAGCAGACTGGTAGTTGCCAAGGGCTGGGGGAAGGGGAAATAGGAAATTACTGCTTTACGGATACAGGATTTCCTTTTGGGGTGATAAAAATATTTTGGAATTAGATAGAGGAGGTGGTTGCATAGCATTGTGAATGAATGTACTAAGTGCCACTGAATTGTTCACTTTAAAATGGTTAATTTTATGGTACGTGCATTTCAGCTCAGATGTTTTTTTTAAATGACTGGGAAGGGAGTTGAGGTGGAGACAGAACAGCTAGGAGGCTACTACAGAACTCTGGGCACAAAACGATGGTGGCGCTGGCTGGAGTGGAGCCTGAGAAATGGGCCCCCACCCTCTGCACACACAGGAAGGGTGGAAAGAGTTCTTTCATAGCCTTTCCAATGAAGCTTTAATTATTGACCCAAGGACACTTCAAAACTAGTGTCTTGACCAGGGAGAAAGAAGCATATTCCCAGGAAGGCTGTTGGAGAAGATGGATGGGACCCACCTGAAGGGGAGCTTGGAGTCCGGGCAGTCCCATCACAGTGCTCAGAGCACGATGCAGTGGTTGGTGCCTCCCCTCCTGGCCCTGAGTCCATCCTTCATCCCTCCCCAGAGAGCTCTTCTCAGAAGTGCCCTGACTGGGGCCTGACACCATTTCCCATGGGGTTCCTGAGTTTGATCTCTTGTGGAGGACTGAAATAAACCTGTTGAGTTGGGAGCAACTTGGAAATTTCCTTCTCCTCCTCTTCCTTCTTTCTTCTTCTTCTTTCTTCTTTTTCTTCTTTCTTCTTCTTCCTCCTCCTTCCTCCTCCTCCTTCTTCTTCTCCTCCTCCTCTCTCCTCTTCCCTCCTCCTCCCTTCTCACTTCTCCCTCCTCCTTCCTCCTTTCTTCCTTCTAACTTCTTTCTTCTTTCTTCCTTCTTCCTTCTTCGTTGTCGTCATCTTCTTTTCTTTTTTTATTTTTTTAAGAGACAGGGTTTTGCTCTGTTGCCCAGGCTGGAGTGCAGTGGTACAATCATACCTCACTGCAACTTTGAACTTCTAGGCTCAAGCTATCCTCCTGCCACAGCTCCCTGAGTAGCTGGGACTACAGGTGCACGCCATCACACCCACCTAATTTTGTTATTTTTTGTAAAGAATGGGAGTCTCATTCTATTGTCCAGGGTGCTCTCTAACTCCTGGTCTCAGGCAGTCCTCTCGCCTCAGCCTCCCAAAGTGCTGAGATTACAGGCATGAGCATCCAAGCCTGGCCCTCATAAAAAAAAAATAATAAAATAAATAGAACATCAGAATGATTTCCTAGATGTCCAGCTGTGCAAAGAGAGGCGAGAAAACACTGAACGCGGTCCCCACATTTGTGACAGCCATGTTTGCAGTCTTCTTAGTCCACATGTGGAGCTGTGTTCCCCCAAAACATGTTGGGGAGGGAAAAGGGCTCTGTGTGTGTGTGTCTGAGTGTGAGTGTGTGTGTGTGTGTGTGTCTGAGTGTGTGTGTGTGTGTGTGTGTGTTGATACCCTTCAGATTTAGCTCGACAGCTGTGGGGAAGAATTTCTAAAATAAAGCTAGATCCAAGAACATGCCGTCTGGAAGAAACATCTGCTCCCTCTGTTTTCTCCTTCAAGACCTGAGTCATCTGGCTTTCCCTGTGGCTGCAGAGGCCTCTTCTCAAATTGGCTTCAGGTTTCTGTGAAGGCCGTTTTGTGAGGCTTAAGACTTGGAGACTTTCCATTTGGGGCTCTCAGAGTTGAGACGTCTGGGAGTAGTTTGCACCATGTTCAGCCTCAGATTCAGAATCCATCCAGCAGATGTAGTCCTCAGATGGGCGTGTGAGCTAGAAAAATGTCCTGCAGGGTTATCACGCTGACGTATGACAGCTTGTGAGTCAGTTTGGCTTGGTTACCAACACAAAGCAGGGCGGTCTCCACACACTCCTCCCTCGGCCTCTCACGCTTGGGTCTTGGTGGTGGTGAAATTTTATGATGGTGGATTTTTGTAAATACTGTGAACCTTGGGTTTTTGTGGTTTTTTATATTTATTTTATCCACAGATAAATTTATTTTATCCCTTTACAAATGTATTAGTTTTCTGTGTCAGCTGCAGCAGCGGTGGCTTAAAACAACAAGCTTACACAGCTCTTGAGGTTCTTGAGGTTAGTTCTTAAACTGAGTTCTCTCGGTTCTTGAGGTGAGACGTCTGAAAGCAAGGTGCGGCAGGGCCATGCTGTCTCTGAAGGCTCCGGGGAAGGGCCTTTCCTCGCCTCTCCCAGTTTCTGATGGCTCTGCGTGTTCCTTAGCTTGTGGCAGCCTCCCAGTCTCTGGCTTTGTCTTCACACGGCCGCCTATTCTGTGTTGTCTCCTTTTCTCTGTTACAGTTCCCTCTGCCTCTTTTCTGTAAAGGCACTTGTCATTGGATTCAGGGCCCACCCAGATAATCCAAGATGACCTCCCCATCTCAAGATCCCTCACTTAGTTACATCTACAAAGACCCTTCTCCCAAATATGCATTCACAGGTTCCATGGATTTGATAGGGAGTCTCTTTTGGTGACGATCAGGTCACCATTCAACCCGCTCGAGTAAGCCTGGGAAATCACACAAATATCATCCCAGCGAGGCCTGCAGACCCTGTGTGGTTTTAATTTAACACTCACTGAGTTCTAAGAGGACCCAAAGGCCTCTCTAGTGTGGTGTCACCAGAGATGCCATCAGACACCTGAGGGACCTTTGAGAAAGAGAAAGGTCACTGGACAATGAGAGAGAAGAGATGCTCCAGGTCTGGCTGTGTCACTCATTCCTGAGTGACTTGGGGCAGGTTGTTCAGCCTCTTGGGGCTGTCTTCATTTCCCAGGTAAAGGGACTGGCATGTAACCTCCAGCAGCCCTCGAGTTCTCTCTGTCTCTGTCATTCCTTAATTCTTGTAAGCCCGGAAAATCACATCAGCTTGAAGGGGTGGGGAGGTGAGCCTGAGCACCAGCGGGTCAGTGAAAAGGCTCTGGGTGGCAGCCAATCTGAATCTGTACTCACCAGCTGGGGGTCCTTGGGCAAGAATTGCCACTTCTTTAAGCCTCAGTTTTCTTTTCTTTAAGTGCAAGAATTGAAAATGTGCATGTAATTCCAAGACTTGGGCTGCTAGACCTCCTGGAGTCACTTCAGCTCTAAAGATCTGAGTTCTAGAATTCTCATGTCTTGGCTGTAAGGGATCAGACAGAGCCAATGGTTATTTTTTTCTGGAAACCAGCACGTAGCACTCAGCATAGAGCCTACACTCAAATTGTAGCTTGATTTCTCATCACTTGCTTTCAGTTTTGTTTTCGACAGCAAGATTCTCTTTTTAGGGAGATCTTGCTATAAATGGTACA